GCAAATATTTTTCTAACAAACGAACGAATTGTTCGTTTTTGTTATTTACATACCTGATAGGATTGCGTGATATTGTAAACATTTCCCGTGACACTGTATGCACAGCTATTTTATTATTCATTTGCAGTCAGGTATACGTGCATCATTTTTGTACACTCACAGCTATTTTCGAATATTTTTTCAAAGTGTATAATATCTCGATATCTCTCTATTGACCTTTACCACGGACTCGCACATAGATTACAATGAGTATCGGAGTATGCGCATCGAATGTCTTTCGTGGGCCGAAAACATTACCACGTAACGAAAATGCACCCGCACACAGGAGAGCCAAACCGACAGAGAGAGTCAGACAAACAGAACAGAAGAGAAATAAAGTAGGGGCGGAAAAAAAAACAGATAGAAAAAAGCTCTGGTAAATACAAATCGTAGGTATGGGTAAGCAAGGAACTGTGTAATAAAAGCTCGTAACGCCGGGTATTGGCACAGCTTGATTTATCCAAGCGCGCCAGTCTGTACACAGAGCAGACAGTTCCCGAGAGCCACGCGTTTTTATCCTCACAGCTGGCGCTCCTTCTCAGGGTGACACCAACACGTCGAACGGCTCCACTTATTCTTCCTCCACTTGTGCTTTTTTTCCCCCTTTTCTCTTCTCCCTAATGTCCTCCCGGCTCCTTATCCCGCGTTACCCCTCGAAATTTATGGCCCGTCAAGCGGCAAAACGAAAGCGTCGCGGGTACAACATTTTCAAACTAAAAATAATGACGGGCCAACAACTCGATTTACCAGCACCGTTTTTGGTGGATATAGATCGCTTGGAGAGGTGCAATTTTCGACACTGCAAATAGGTACCGGGTTTTTCCAATATTTTATAAAATATAGCGATAATAACGATGGTACACCTTTTAGCAAAGTTGGATGCGGGATTCTTGTTAATTATTCGAGCCTAATGAAGACACGCTGTCTCAGCATCGTGAGCGGAAAACTTGATAATGTTGTACCGAGCAGGGCTCGAACCTTGTAAAATTTCAGGCTGTTCGGATTAACTTGTCATTATTATTATCGTTGTTGTTATTAAATTCTTGCGCAACAGGAATTCCACGCAAACGAGGGCTAAATCACCTCGGGGCATAACTTTCTTTTCTCTGTACTGTTTTTTAAATCGTATATGAAAATTTTAATGAAAAATCACGCTCCGCTGTTTCGAACGGAATTCCACCTACCCGCGCCTCAAAGAAGTCAAAAACTCGGCGCAGCTCCATCTCATTAAGGAAAAAAGAGCATTCCAGCACTAAAAAAAAAAAAAAGAAAAGTTTATTCATCGCGACCCAGAAACCAAGAAAGAGGATGGAGAAACGAAAGTAAAAATGAGACGAAAAAAAGTGAGAACAGAAAAGTGAATTAAGACTTCTCGTGTGCCCCGATATTCGAGGAAACGCGGCTCTGACGTTTCGCAACGGCAGCTTTTGCTCTGCAAGAGTAACTTTGACGTCTACGTACACCGTGCACGGACTCTCCCTCTTTCTCTGTTAAAGGGGGCGCGCGCCTTGAATATTGCTTCCAAGTTGGCATCAAAGTCCCGTCACGTAACTAGTGTTACGCGGTTACGGTATCGCTCCTCCGCTCGACTGTCTATACATGTGTGCTTCGTATCGGACGCAGTTTTCTCCCTCTCTTTGTACTCGAATGCTTGCACCGTGGCTTACATCCTGCGTGCCACGTATACCCTTTTGCTCAGGGGTTTGCCAGAATCGAAAATTGCACCACAACCAGAATGCACTCCTCCATTGTACCTTGTTCTCCTGATGGCATGTTCGAGTTATCGAGGATTTTTCCTTTTTTATTTTACCCGAGGGATACGTATTGCTGGTGTAAATCGCGTGTTTAGTACCTCGTAAGCTCAAATAAGGAATATATTGATACGCGAAACACCAGACGTGACTTTCATAGCTTTGGGAGGACTTTAAGGTGACGCAATAAAACGGAAGCACGCAATATATTTCTCTCTCTCTCTCTTTCCTTCCTACCACCGCGAAGCTTTTGCTCACATACAAAACAGTAGAATCGCATACTACCCCCCTTGACGTGAATGCGATCGATCGCATTTATGATAATAATATAATTAATGCTCTGATTATTCCGTCCGAGGAGGAAAAAAAAATCAAATTAGTGCGCCGGCAAATGGTCATTAATTTGAGTAATTAGAAGCCCCGTTCTCGGGACTCGATTTTTTCTTTTTTTCTTATTTCTTTCGTGTTTCCAGAGAGGGTCGGTACGTCTGTTATCCAGGCGTCCTCGGCAGGAGAAAGCAGCACCCGGACGAGATGGGCCGGCTTATGGAGCGCATAATAGAGAGCCTCGCCTCGATAAATTGATTTAAAGGACCTGAAAGCGACTCCACTTAATCACGTCCAGCCGTCCCTTGGTCCTTTTCGAGGCGCAGAGCGTGAACTCGAGTCCTGAGAGCGAGACGACAAGCACAACACTGTGCTCGCGCCCGAGAAAAGACCAGCGGTATAGAAAAGCGAGAGGAGAGAAAAATAAAATCTCGCTGGTGGAGAGATAAAAACGGCAGTTCGGAAAAAAAAGGATCCCCGGAAATTAAGTTCGTAACTATTTGAACGGATGCCAGTTGGTGGGGCGGGCAGGTATAGGGGCGACTCGTTTTCTTCGGTCCGAGAAATTATTTTGTAAGTTTCGTTAGCCGCTGCAGAGTCCAGATTGGGAATCCCCGTAATTGCGCCGCTGCAGCCATCTTCGTCACGTTCCGTACTCAAAAGGGAGCCTTTAGAGTTGAAAAAAAAAAAAAAAAAAAAATAGAGATTGGACGTGGGGGAGGCTCGGAGCGTGATATCACGCACCAATCTCCACTCCATCCACCTTCCTTTTCCCACCAGACTTGGGCTTCTTTATTTTCTTGCACTACTTTTATCCTCTACCCCCCTACCATCGCGGTGTTGGCGAGAAAGCATTAAAATTACACCCCTCATCGGGGAATTCCCTCGACCGCGTTTTTTTCTCGCTCTCGAGGATAACGTGCACCATTATGGATTAAACAACTGATAATTTAATGCTGACCACTATTCGACGAGTCGCTAATAACCTTATGTCCTGCAGTGCATATTATATATATATAGGTTGAAGGATCTCGTCTT